GCGCTTTAACCTTAAAATTCAACTAGGCCTCGAGAGACACGTTGGTAACGCTTATAAAGTTGGAGGCGGTAGCTTTTTACATCTTGCAGTTTATTGCGAACATACATCCACATATATTGCAACCTTGAACTTTGACATGTAGTTCTTAACATCTGTTTAAACAATTTGTGGGCGTAGTTATTTTCTTTGGGAATTCCATTGCAAAACTACACAAACGCGTAAGTCGGCTCTTCTAAAATATGTTAATTTATTCTGAATCACTGGCATGGGAATGACAATCAATAACAGTCGGTGTCTGCATTTGCCAAATCATTCCACTGTGTTTTATGCGTGTTTGTCTCTCGTGTTCATTGTGTTTTATCACCAACATTTTATTGAATAACTGACAGTATGTTCGAGAGATCCGAATGATTTTAAAACATTGAGGTCGCCTATCGACGCCGCGGATAATTTCACACCCGATCACCGTTTGTGTTTTACGTAGTGAAATTAGAGTGGTGCTACTCAAATCCAGGTGTTTATAATTGCCGTTGAAACACGTGTTGTGAACACTAGCGTTGCGTTCGGGGAACTTCGTCTCGCTTGGTTGGTGTCACTTATACGTAGAGATACCATATTCGACCTTAACGAATACACATTAGGTCATTACAGATAGTCCAGTTTTATTCACACAAGCAGAGAGCTGAGGTAACCCCTCGCTGTACCGTTCCCTCCTTCCCTTTACAAAGGTTACAAACTCTCTACATTCAAAACACTAAGGCGCGGCGTAGTAAACATGTGATCAGCCAATCGCTGCAGTCGTTGGCACAATCACGTGATTACCAGGGATGTGACTTTAATACGGATAAAGCCTTGCAAAGTTTCTACTACTAAATACAATAAGTAAACAAGGTATTCATCCAATTCCCGTTATATACGTTTATAATCCCCCTGCAAGTTGTCGATTCTAAACAATAGTCTAACGGCGTGTGATGGGAATGTGCGATCGTGAAGTCGTTATCATAACACAAATATGTCTCCATAGACTATATAGTGACCTCATTACCAGAGATTCGCGTAACTTTGTTGTGTTGGTTGAAACAACGTTGCCACCTTTTGTAGCTATCCCTCGACATGATGTTAGAATTCACTTCAAATTACATACATACCTGGTGTGTACAGGACACGTCATTACTTAGAATAATTAAAAAGACGATGTACAAATGAATGTACTCTTCACCAGACATCGGCCGCATTTTATACAATGTTCAGCACAGCGTTGGCACGGTACTGACGTCATAGGTCAAATATAACACCACAGTAAAAGTAGCCGAGATTGTATGCAGAGTCTGGTTGACTGCCCGGGTTGACTGCCTCAAAGAATACCTATTCGTATTACTCATTCAGCGGTTGTATTAACATTGAATGACATGTTAAAAAGCCTAAGTTCTGTTCGGAGCTATGATGAGGACCCACTGTTTAATAATGAATCATCAGACAGTGGAAATTAAAGTTTAGAGCCGGTACTATACACCAGAGACAAGTCGGTAGGCTGGTTGGCGATGCCGGCGAGGCAAACCCTAAAACGCAGAATTCCGGAATTCCGGCTAGAATTCCGGCCGGAATCCGGAATTGCATTAAAATAATATATTAATTACAAGAGGACTTTAATTAGTCCAATTTATGCCAGTCATATATTTTGGTGGCAAAATAAATTGTGGTTATCTATAAATTCTCCAGACTATATTTGAATCGGGCATGCATGTGAGTTCATATTATACCTTTTATGTTTTAAGTAAGACTTAAAGTGCCTGTGAAATGGTCATCCACACATTTTCCATTTTGGATTTGTGTTCCAATAAATTAGACAGTTATTGATTTTTTGGTTGAAAATGATTACTGGTGTTCGAGTAAATTTGAGATATTTACCGGGTTGTAGGTGGACACCTATCCCGGAACAGTCGACTCGCGACTATTTCCGTCTCTATCTGAAGTAAAAAGGCGACACCAAACGACAAAGTATAAGAGGAAGCCATACACTTGCACTGTACTTTTATTATACTGCGTCATTTAACGATACATATTTTTTGAAACGTTGTATTGTTGGCGGGCTTAGCAATGCGTATAGTAATAGTGTGAGAATTTATGCGTTTCCAGACGATCCGAAAGGTGTGACATCAGGAGACAAAAGCCGTAAAATCAATAAGAAAAAGTTGAGATGGACATACTCATACCGTCATACCGCAGATTCTTACGCCGAATACAGTATATGTCCTTAATAGTCCCCGCAAGGTCGCAGTCCGAAAACGGGGACTTATGCTTTGACCTTTGTACGTCCGTGTGTCCGTGCGTGCGTCCGGACATGTATCTTGGACATGCCTGGACCAATCACAATCAAACTTTACACATACATCATACATGATAATATACATATGCACGTCAATTTGTTTCACGATCTGATTCAAGATGGCCGAATGGTGGCCTTTTTTGTGTTAAACAATCATTTGTGGATTTTGTTCAAATTTGGTACATACGTTGGACATTATGGAACCTTGATGCACATCATTTTATTTTTCAGATCCAATTTAAATGGCGGCCATTTTGTTCTAATGAGTACAGTTCTAGTGCTATATCTAGAACAATTAAACCTGGCACAGTGGCACAGTACTAACACTTTTTAAAGAACTAGATTCCGGACAAGCCCATGTTCACCGAGTCGGCTTTCAAAGAGTGAGAAACGTCGGATAAGTGTTTCAAATGTGCTGAGAATCTGGATAACGTTTTGTAGAGGCCATGTAGTTTATGATATATAAGAGGTTGCAAGGACGTGACGCGAAAACCGATGCGTCGGCCAAACAGAAAAATGCGCAGCACGCTGACAATTGTCTTTAATTACGCTGTCTAAATATTTCTGAATTGTTTTGTGATTGGTGTTGACTTCACACTTCTGTGAACTTATCTTGAAATTTGATTTGCGTAATAAGTAGGCTGTCGATATTTTTCGACCACGTTTTTTAATATGATGTCGTAATTATAACAATCACGATAACTCGAATCACACTCTGAATTTGTGCTGTGTTTCGCTCTCAATTATTTTTATTATCCAATCAAACGCCGACATTCACGCAGTTTTCTTCGCCATGACCATGGGGGTTAGACTTGCTTGCACTCTGTTGCAATTCCGATGAAAAATTCTTGAAAAATAAATATAAATTGCTAAAACGAGGGGTGAACGCGAAAGTCATGTGACCATGAAATCCCAACAGACTTGCCATCGGTGTAAGCGCAAATGTCAATTGCGAGACCATACATTGCAGGTAAAGCAGTCTGAGATTCAGATCGGTCTAAATCTTAGCTGCAAGTATAAGTAAACCGCAGTACTGAACCCAAATAACTCTTGGACTCGTTCATTTGCTTGCATGACTATGAATGAGGATATCATTTATGTTGTTATTCATACCATACTAACTGTGCAGTGACGAAATAAGTGAAAACTAAGATCGGCCCACATGCTAACCAAGAGCTTATTATAAGGCCTTAATGAATCATAATAGGACCTATCATAATAGGTCTTACAAAAAAAACTCATATAGGTATTTCCCCAAATGTTCTCAAATAAGACTGTGTGTGGGGAATCGCAGAAGTTAATCTACAAGATTCTGAAAGGATATTTAAAATTCTCATTATAATATGTGGCAGCTGTGTGTCAACATTTAGAGGAAAAAGGACTGGAGTACAAGACGACAGTTATATACCGAGAAATGTCTACAACCAAGCTACTTGGATATGAATCCATTAGGAAAAGTCCCAGTAATCAAACACGGTGAAAACAATGTTCCAGATTCCAATGCAATTTTGCAAGCTTTCAAATGTGTGGCATTATTTTTCCAATAGTTTCACTCTCTCGTGGTGTTTTCATTAATAGAACAAAAACGGCCCCTGCAACTCAACACGGACACCAACAAACACAGCGATGAGCACTATGTTATATTTTGTATTATTATTATTCTGTCGCTGTTTTTTGTCACTAAGTGAATTTTCTGTGCTTTATATTATTAATAATTGGTAGGTTGATAGCGGCAGATGTGATATAGTAAATGAAGCATATTGATCACATGGTTTTGCTGCTGAACTGAATACAAGACAAATAGCGCAGTGCTGTATTGTCCCGAGTCTGAGCATTTGGAATTTATGTTATAAGCACATATTCTTTCAATATCACGAATGCAAACTTTTGCGGTCCCCATGGCGTTGGCCGTCATATTAGATTGGACTAAACCTGGTGCGTCTTCATGCGCACACTTTTTTTATTCTTTACATGTGAGGAGTTTGGTGGCCATTTGAAAATTAGAACATACAACATGATTAATTCGATGATTTTTTTACTTTAGAATGTCAACCCAAACCAATCAGCCAAAATGATTTTTTTAGCTCCGCTGTCTACGATTTGTTAATTTTGTGATATCTTCAATTCTCTAATTTTGATTAATATATTGTCATTTTTGGTAAAAAGTGATATTGTCGACTTCCTATTGAAAACAGCTAGTCGCATTGCTTTGATACTATACACACAGTTACCTAAGGCAAACCTCTATAACATATGTTCATTTTCTAATGGTATCTTCAAATCTTCTATTGAAATGTGAATTGTTAACATCAGAGCTATCTCAGCCGAGAGGCTGCTTGTTCATTTTCAACATAATGGCAAAAGAGAGCGTCCATTATGCACTGTACACTGAATGGGCAATACATTAACACAAAATATCGCCACTCAAAATGTGAGTGGAACAAATAGTCATCAACATTAATGCGAGTATGGATTGTAATATAATTAACTCAACACCAGCTGGGGACATGCAACCACTACTATAATTACTGAATTGACAAATGATACGACTATTATATAATATGCTTTATTATCTTCAGCACCCTCATATGACAAACATATATGTTGGTTGAGGTCGTTGACAACGCAATAATTGACGTTACAAAATCTAATTGGCCACTGCAAGGAATTGTGGATATTCATGTGAATACACAGATCAAGTGATACTGAACAACTACTTGCTACAGACTTAGTTAACAGAGTTCGTACTGCACACCAAAGTCATCAATATTAAAGCTTATTTTTGACAGAAATCACCAATCCAATTCTGGATCAATTTTACATCAAGTAAAGTAGGTAAGTGTATATGACACTTATATAAAAATGATCTTATCAAACAAACTTTGTCAGGTAAATTATATATATATTATTGTTTTATGTTATGCTATACTAAACGAATTATATGTTGACATTTGTTAAAGATACTAATATTAAAAACAAGACCAATGGAATACTGCAAACGACGTTTGGGTTACTAGAGGGTGTGACGTCAAGGAGATCGCTGACATTGTCCAATGAGCCATTACACGGAGATGGTGATATTCCAAGCAGCTCGCACATCAGAGGATATATATTCACCTGGAAAATGTAGCAAGATAGAGGTGACAGCAGCGATATAAATGATGTACAATTTTTATTTTCGGGCGGACATTCTTACAAAGAGAAACTGTTAATACCCTGGAAAGCGTCAACATTATAAAACTAATCGAATGAATAGTTACAGGAATAAACACATTTCACGATAATATATTATGGTAGAATTGTAACAGATTTCGAATAATTTGCATATAATTAGATATATTTGGTAACAATATGTTAAGCTAGGTTTACTTACAGATTCGAAGGACCCTCTTTCGTATCCAACTTTAAATCTGGGGCCATATCCATAAAATATTGACTGCATTTCCGAATGTAAAAAATCATAGCCATGCTCTGTCACCGACGTTTCATTAGTCGTATTGGACTGTAAATCAAAACCAGCAAGTAATCTAACTAGTATATATATCGCTATGAGAGTATGTGTTGTCTATATTAAAAACCAAATTTTAAATGACAATTCCAGTATATGTATTCAATAGTTGTGTAACAATCCAAATATGGAAATATGTTGACCAGTTACTTTCTTACTGTCTCTCATGTGCAAATTATGATATACCAATCATTACCATGTTAAAATTGGATCATCTAATCAACGAGTAGATTACGGCAACATAGGAAAGCACATTGTTTCCAGAAATGCACAGGTTTAATGTAGCTGTCACACTTTGAAGATATGCACACAAGTCACGCGACGGCGGGACTTCATAGACGGTATTTGCACGGTAAACAGAACACGGTGTATATGAATTATTATATAGAATTACATTTCGCATACGGTCAGAAAGAGTAAATTAATAAATTACCATAACAAGATTCCATGGTGGATTGGCTAACAAGAGAATGTCCAGAATCCTCTCATTATACTTGTAGTGTAAATAGTCTGGTGTTTCGTCTTTTTTGTAAACATTCATTTCATGGTGACATTCCTTTAGCTGTTGGTACACCTAGAAGTGAATATGGTCATTATAATACAGTAGCTTCAAGAAAACTACAAACTTGAAATAATAAAGCAAGAATTATACCTCGGATAATGCAAAGATCAAAACTGACTGGTGATATAGATAACACGTAACAATGGCAACGTGTGATTCGAAAATGACAACGACAACATGCAACTTGCTAATAACGCAAACTATATGTATTAGTTGTGTTCAGGCAAGGCTTTAGTAACCAATTTCATATGTTTATTACTAGTATTTACTATACCCAATTATGTTTTCAGTAAGCAAGGAAGAGCCAGTTGTCAGTTCGGACTGAGGGATGACCAAAATTGATAAAAATATGTTTGATTTCTCTAACACGGGTAGGCATGGGTCTTAAACACTGGTAGGCTTTAGATCTTAATCATCGTTTCATAGTCCGTACTAAGTGTTTTCTTAGTACGGGCTAACGATTTCAGCTTGTGCTAAGGAGATGAGCGTGAACGCATCCAATGTATCAATGGGTTTGACTTTGAGATCATGCCCACCTCTTCTCGTCTTTCTAACTTTGGATTCAAATATCCAACTGCGCCATTGAAAGGAATCCAAAAATCCACGTCATTTTCACTGATGCAATCCCATACACGGATGACGTCACCAGCTGTTGTGTGGCCATGGTCACTGGTGATAATTATATTCATGTCCTCCAGTAAGTTGTATTCATTCAATTCGTCCAGTAGATATGCCAGCCCATCGTCTATTTCACTAATCATATCCATTGTCTCAGAAGATTCCATACCTGTAGCGTGTAATATCGTATCTAACTGGCCGTGGTAGAGCAGTACTAAGTCCAAATCATCATCTCGGAACCAAGTCACAACATCGTCAATTCGTTTCCTAAAAGGTAAATTATACCATCTCCACTCAGTGTTAGCCACATCCTTATTTGGACGAACACCTTTAATTTCAACTGATCCACCAGGGTACATGTATGTACCTGACGTGAGACCGCTGAAATTGGCACTAACCCAGATCGGTTCTGCACCTGTATCAAACCACTCAGAGGCGTTGCATGTGTGTTCGTAATCTAAAATTATCCCAGTCTCTGGATCATAATAATTATTATTCACAGCACCGTGGCTTTCTGTGTACAAGCCTAAAATATAAATATATATTATATATAACAAATACTTTAAAATAAATTATAGAATATGGCGTGGTGAATATGTAGATGTACATTTCTGCATAACATAAGTTAATTGTCCAACAGACCATGCATTAAGTGCAGATGATTTATGGCTATTTATTTTGATGGTATTTGAACTAGAATTCGTACCTGTTGCAGTTGTATACATGGAAGGTATTGATTTAGTTGGAAATGGAGGTAATATCATATCAGCTTTAACACCATCAATACCAATTTGCTTCAGGTTAGGCATGTCAGCGTTGAAAAGATCATAACGCAAGCCGTCTAGGAGTACCAGTAACAGTTTATCGCCACCACTAGATGCCTGCAAGATGATAAAGATCGTGCATTGACAGAACAAGACAGCACTGAGAAGATGCGAGTATGCACCAGTGTTCGTCAATATCACATAATTTAGTCATTATGGGTTTGTAATTAGTACCAGAAAAGTGCTTGTTAACTTATAATTTTACTAGGCCCAGAGAAACATGCTGGTAACGTGTATAAATTAGGTGGCGGTAGCTATCCATATCTCGTACTAGTAGTTTTACTGCGAACACACATCCATATATATTCCGACCTTAAACTTTGACATGTAGTTCTTAACATCTGTTTAAACAGTTTGTAGGAATAGTTATTTTCTTTGGGAATTCTATTGCGAAAATACACAAACACATATTAAGTGGATTATTTGATGTCGGTAATGCTAAAATATGTGTATATTATTTATTCTGAATAACTGTTTATATTAACAGAGATGGCATGGAAATGACAATGAATCGTGGTCTGCATTTGCCAAATAATTTCAGTGTTTTTTGCGAGTTTGACTTTCGTGTTCATTGTGTTCGAACACGAATTTTGAGCGTTTTGTTGAATAACTAGCAGCATGTCAGAGAGACTATTGATTTTATAACACTGAAGTCACTTATCGACGCCGCAGAAAATTTCACATTCGATCACCGTTTGTGTTTCACATGGTGGCATGAGAGTGGTGCCCCTTTGATCCAGGAGTTTCAGACTGACGTTGGAACAACTTAAAGTATGTTTCCATAAACTATAGCGCAACACTTTAAGGATGATCACATTGGCAGAAATTCACATAACTTTATTGTGTTGTTTGGAACGACGTTGGCACCTTCGGTAGTTATCCCTCGACTTGGTGTGAGATGGTGTGAATGATATAACTGCAAATGCTAGAGACAGATTTTAGAACTTCAAATTGCATACATACCTGGTGTATACAAGACACGTCATTAGTAAGAATAAATAAAAAGACCATGTACAAATGAATGTACTCTTCACCAGACATCGACCGCATTTTATAGCAATATTCAGCATTTACGTACTGCGTAACACGGTACTAAGATCATAGGTCAAATCCGTAGTTAATGATTAACAAAACTAACCTACTATACAGTGTCACAGCATTACACCTTGTAACTGTTGAACCATCGATGTGCTTCTCATAAACCTCGGGTCAATACCATAACATCTTGAATCTATGTGGACTTGATGGAGATCAACCATTTGAAATCATAGGGGTGGAGGGTGGCTGAAAGAGATGGATCAGTGCAATATTGTTTTGCGGTGTCCCTCACGTACATTTTAATTGTTCTTGAATGTGTCGACGTTTTGCTGCACCACCTTGCATAGATTTTTTTCAGTGACAAGCTTGCAATTTTTTAAACAAATTTTCCAGCCAGCCCCATAATTTTTAATTTTTCAAATATCACGTTATAATAAAATAATACACTTCATCTAGACATTCGCTTTATGCAGTACATTCCTTTGAATTTGAAAATCATCCCTCACACATTACAACCAACATCGTTTCGGTCATACCACAGTATGAAAATAACATGAAAATGAAAAGTATTGGCATATACTGTGTATTTTCGTGTATTGTTGGTGCTTTCGGAGAGTACATATCTTGTTGTTTTGTTTGGATTAATATAGTTCACTATACTACGAGATATGAATAACAGTTTATCAAGTCCTGTCATGATTAGTGACATTTCAAATTAGGAATGTGTATTACCTATATAAAGACTATGAAGATGTTTGGCACTAAGTGTAGTCCTATAGCACGAGATAAGTAAAATAGTCATTTAGATAACTGAATAGTAACTCATTTGCTTTAACAGACTTTAGTAAATAAATAGCAAAAATACATTTCGGACATGTGACGCCATCATTCCGAGTACCCAGCATTATGATTTTTGTGCGCCATACAGTGTTCGAAATTGGATTTGCTGTCGTTTTATTAACAACATGGCGGCGTGCCTGGACACGAGAATCTGATGTCAGGTAAAACTTTACGTACTCATCATTTCTCTACTGTTTTGATACACCATTAATGCCAGGACGGGAAAAGTTAACAGTAAAGGTTAAATGACGAAACTTTTACAGAATTGGCGGGAAGCAGCCTCCTTGATTCTCGCCGCAAAAGTTCGCAACACCGCGGCGGTGGCGTCCTGCAGTCAAAATGACTACCGAATTCTAATGCTTGAACGGCACGGTAAAAGCAGGTTCATGCCGAACACGTACGTCTTCCCTGGAGGTGTAATCGACAAAGCCGACTTTTCCAGTGATTGGCTCGACCTGTTTTCACGGCATGGTTGTAAACCAACTATTTTCGACCCAATTCTGAACATTAAAGGACAGCGCCCTCAATTGATGACAGCCACTCGTTCGTCGCAAGTGTCAAACGAGCTGGCATTTCGGATTTGTACCATACGGGAAACTTTCGAGGAATCTGGAATATTACTGACGAAAGATGCTGCAAACATCAACACTGAAACGGCAACCCCTAGTCTTTCCTATGAATATAAGCATCCTTTCTCAGCCGATGACCTGGAGAACTGGAGACTGCGTGTCCATAATAATGCGCATGAGTTTATTCAGCTGTGTCGTCATATCAACCATGTTCCCGACGTCTGGTCACTCTTGGAGTGGTCCAATTGGTTGACGCCTGCTGATTTAGGCCCATTGCGTTACAATACCATGTTCTATATCTGCTGTGTGGATTCAGTACCTGATGCATATTATGACGAAAGAGAAATGTCAAACTTAAAAGTGAGTATGATTGGCACTGTGTCACAAAAGCAGAGGAAGGGTTTGCATGGAAGTTGCAGCCACCCATGTAAAATAAAAAAAACATTATTTTATATAAAAAAAATAAATAGTAATTGAGACAATCGTAAGTATACATCTTATAACTACATATAATATAGACACCAATGGTAAATTTTTATGGGTGGTACATCATAGTAGGATGACCATAACTTGTTATCTGTGTTTGAATATTACCACATTTTCCCAATGGTGATATCTACAGTCTTATCATGCAATTGATGACTATGTATCCGTGCTTCAAAAGAATACTGGCCTAAGCACTGAAGAACTACAAGTTCTGATGAGGGACAGGGAATTGTGGAGGAAGCTGACCATGGAACCGGGTGTGCCCGATTGATGATGATAATGATCTTGCAATTATATCTCAAAAAAATATATATATTATTAGAAGCTGTTATTGTTTGATACCGTCATTATTAATTCAAGATATTGAATTCCTTTGAATTGAATAGTATCATTTTTGTCTTTTTTTTTTCAAATTTTCTCATTCGCCTTAACAACAAGTATTGTGTTTTCAAATGTTTCAGTGGTTGTCACCTATGGATGGTCTGTCATTATTTAAACAAGAATCAATTCTACTGGCACCACCACAATCATATGAGCTTTCCAGGCTCTGTAATTATTCAAATATTAAAGATCTCCATGAATTTACTGTGAATAGAAGTGATAAAGGCTGTGAATTTCTATTTCCTGTGAGAGTGAATGCAGCAGATGGTATCATATCTTTGATTCCAGGTAAACAAATAAGATATATGGGGTACTTTCATGTCATGTGATTATAATGTAGTATCATGTGACTGATACCAGATCATGTGACTAACAGCTTTTGTGAGCGATGTCATGTGACTGATGTCATATGTCTAACTGATTTTGTTCCGGTGTCTTACAGGTGATGACATGTATCCTAAACAGCCTGATTTAGTAGGTGAGAGAGAAATTATAGAAATAGAACAGTCTGTGGTAGAGAATCGACAGTCTACTAAGAATTTAAACCGTGTTGAACTGCTTGGTGTATTCAATCATGATTTTCATTGTAACGTTTCACCTGCATATGGCCATGTTAAACCAATTTTAATGTCAAATATAATGAAGAATCTGGAAAAATGTAAACTTTGAAGACTCTGTCAAGCTAGAATAATGCTTCCTGATCCTGTACAGTCAATACTTGAGTCACTTGTATGAAAATATTTGTATACACGGCACATTTTATTTGCTTTACTTCAAAGTTAACTGAGTCTAGTTAACTATACATAAGTAGTTTAGCTATGCACTGTGTTTGACATAAGTATTCCGTTGCTACAATACCAGCTTGTTAGTATGAAAACTATTGTTTTTTGTGTTGCTGGGATCAAGCAAGTTTATATTCAACTACAAGTACTACCGGTATGTTAGGTATTCCCATAGGGGGCGCTGTTCACTAGTCATCTGGATGCTGTGCATGAATGAATACAATGGAGAAGCTTCTTTATTGATTAAGTCTTCTGATCAAAATGTTTAAAGTATAATTATTATATTAAATATTAATATTTCGATTTTAAAAATACTTAAATGGGGTTGACATAATGTACAATTTACTAAATCTGTATTTTACGCAAGTTCATTAGTTCAAAGCGTTAATTATTCATATTTAATATAAATAAAAACAGACAACATAGATTCAGTAATGTGCTATTTTCTTTCTTTTTATGTGTGCTTATGTAAAATTTGACCTCCTGTCAGTGACAACCTGTGTTTTATTTCACAAAAGTGCACAATAAAATGTGTATGTCATGTGACTTTTGTAATTCTGAGCAAGCTATACTACCAAATGGATTACGCCAGCAATGGTGAGGGATGTTAGGTATTATGACCATATTCATAACAACCAGCGCAAAGCAATATACTGTAAAACCATTTTTTGTCACTGTTTTTTATATATTGAGCTATTTACTTGGCTTTTCAAGGATACATCGAGTTCTGTTGTTATTTTACATGTTCACACGGATTTATTTCAGTGGATCTTCCCCATCAACAAAAATTAAAAACCAATGAATAACGCATTTACAGTATTTTCTTCAATTTGAGCTTTTCTTTCTTTGAAGGTGATGGAGTTCAATTCTTCATAGGCAATTGCATTTTCGACTTCTTTTTGAAAACTGCTTGGCCAATAGCTTAGATACTTGATATGTAGGACACTGGGATAGACCTCCAAGATTGCATGACAATATCTTTTCAATTCTCTGCTCTTAGCACATATTCCCTGTTAATATGCTGTTGCACAAAACATTTTTTACACTTCTATATGCGAGATTTTTCATGGTAGTGTATCATTCAAAAACACTATATTCATACTGACATCTTAATATACAGTTAACACAATACATGTTATTTTAATTGTTTAATTTAATAAATAATATGTTACTCATTGTTATATAATACATATATAATAATAAATAATCACACAAATTTCAGTTTTGTTCATTTTTAGCTCCCGTGAAACGGAGCTTATGTGGTACCGGTGTCTGTGACTCTGTGACTAAAATTTGTTCCACTGATAACTCAAGATCTACAATTTCAATTCAAATGAAATTTGGCACACAGCTAATATATGATGAGTAGATGCGCTGATTAGATTTTGGTGCAATTCCATGCTTATTAATTAGTCAATTATTGCAATAATTAGTCCCCATTCAGACGCAGTATCTGTATCTTAGAAATGCCTGGACCAATCACAATCAAACTTCACACATACATCATATATGATATTATACATATGCACATCAATTTGTTTTACGATGTGATTCAAGATGGCCGAATGACGGCCATTTTGTGCTAAAAATCCTAAAAATCAAGCATTTCTCGGCTATTTACAGATGGATTTTGTTCAAACTTGGTATATACATTAGACATTATGGGACCTTGATGCAAATAATTTTGTTTTTCAGATAAGATCCAAAATGGCCGACTGGCCATTATGTTCAATTTTAAATATTCATTATACATATACATCATGTCATAGATATACAGATATATTGGTTTGACGATCCTATTCAAAATGGCCGAATAGTGGTCATTTTTGTGCTAACAATTCATCAAATATCAAGCATTTTTGGCATTTATGGATGGATTTCTTTCAAACTTGGTACATACATTAGACATTACGGGTTCCTAATGCACATCCTTTTATTTTTCAGATTGGATTCAAAATGGCCGACTGGTGGCCATTTCGTTTTAATGATTGGGCTTCTAGAGCCATATCTCTGAAATGCTTTGACTGATTATATTCAAATTTTATATATTCGTTATACATCACATTTTATATATACATGTATTCAAAATGGCTGATTTTGAATGCTGTTCCAGAGCAATATCTCTCAATATGGACAAGTACTTGTTTGACGATCAGATACAAAAAAATCATATTCCTGACATGGTTATATTCCAGCCATATTACTACAAACAAAACTATTTATCTTAAATTTGATAACAAACAGGGACTGTGCCATGCATGGCTTGTTAATTTATAACTTAAAGTCTTTAAAGTTTCTTAACAAATATTTGACTAGGGTGAGTAGCTTAATTTGCATATTGCAATAACGTATTCTGTCGCCAAAAAAAACTGGTAGTATTTCATTGGAAGGTCTGCAAATTTGCGAATTTTAGTATATAATGATTTATTATATCATGATTGATGTTATTTGAGCAGATACAGCATCTAAAAACATCAAATGTATGCGAGTATGGGGAGTACGCATGCGCAGTTACAAGAGT